GATGAGAGGTCTGCTGTCAGTCTGATGGGATACCCTTTGTAGGTAACTTGCCATTTTTCTCTTGCCAATCTTAGTATCTTATCTTTGTCGTGTTTTTGGTCAGTCTGGCTATAATGAGTCTTGAAGAAGATCTTCTTGTGTTGATTCTATTTGGGGTCCTCTGTATTTCTTGGGACTGAATTGTTGAGTGCCTCTCTAGGTTTTGAAAATTTTCTTGCAGGATTTCATAGAATAAATTGTCAATGCCCTTATGAGACTCTTTGCCTTCTGGGATGCCTATCATCCAGATGTTTGGACGTTTGATGGTATATAATATTCTCAAAATTTTGGGCCATTTTCTCAGTTTTTCTAGGCCAGCAATTTTGTCTTCTACATCTGAGATTCTATTTTCTGTATGGTCTAGTCTGCTTTTAATACTTTCAAGGGAGATTTTGATTTCCTTCATCTCTAACAGTTCCATCTGATACTTTTGTAAAGTGTGAAACTCTTCTTTTAGATCTTGCATAAATTTCCTAACCTTCTGGACCTCTTCAACTTCTTACTCCTTTCTCTTCAGCAGTTCATTGTCTCTCTTCTCTTCCATTTCTGTTAGCTTTGCCATTATGAATATTCTGAATTCTTTATCAGACATTTCCATGATTTCCATTGAACTATGTGTGGATGAAGAGGAGTTATCATTTTCCCTTGGAGGAGAGGTATTTTCCTGCTTCCTCATATTTATTGTGGTCATGCAGCAATTTTTAGTCATTTGGTGCATGGTCAGTTTCTTTCCAAACTTTGAAGTCCAATCTGAGAAAAGAGGAGCATGCAGAAAAGGAAACAGAGAGAAAGAAACAACAGCAGCAACAACAACAAAAAAAATTACAAGAAACAGAAAAGGAGAAGAAAATACTAAGAGAAAAATGTTTAAATAAAACAAAAAAAAATTTAAAAAATTTCAATAAAACCCAAAAATTAGAAAACCATGTGGTGCTTGTGTAATGGCTAGATCACAGGAGTCATGAAGGAAGGGGTCTCTTTGAGACCCCCTGTTCCCTTCCCTTCTGCCTCTCCTGGGTTGGGAGGAGGAGCAGGGGGAATTATAAACAAGATAAAGGGATAGGAGGGGCCAGAAGGCCTCAATACAATGTCTCAACTTAAAAAATTTTAAAAAGCTAAAATTTAAAAAAGGAGAGGAGAGAGACAGAGGTACAGAGAGACAAAGACAGATACTGAGACAGAAGGCCTCAAAGGAGTCTTCTTACCACGCAAGTTTTGTTTGCTAGAGGCCGAATTATCAGTGGAAAATCTTCATTTCTCAGTTAGCCTCAAAAATGCTAGATCACAGGAGCCATGAAGGAAGGGGTCTCTTCAAGAAGGCCAGTTTCCTTCCCTTCTGTCTC